TTTTTTTTTTAATTAATGTTGTTTGCCAATAGAATATAAAATTGCACTATTGTGCATATCAATTACTGATACCACTTTGTAATACTCATAAAAGCCATAAAAAAGTGAACCCAACGTTATAAAATAGTATAATATGGTTTCTCAGTGACTTTTGATTCATTTTTGGGAAGTTGATCAGTGTAGAAGGAGAACCCGTTGGTGGTGTTAACAATGTTGAGGAAGCCGCCTCTGCTAATGCTTATTGTAATCTTTCTTCTTGTTTGTGGATTTTCACTTTCACACTCTCATTTTCCCACTCATCAAACATCAGGCGAGTATTTTTTTTCCTTCCTTTTGCATTATTAATATCATTGTGCAAGTATTTGCAAGCTCATAAATTGGTGATATTTTCATGCAAGAGAAAGAACAGAAAGGCTGCTGCAGGTTGCTGATGATTTATCTGGTGAGCATCAAACATTGCTTGTGTTGGCTCCAAGGAGGACTTCCCGTAAAGACCCTCTCAACGGCTTTACAACGTACACCGGAGGCTGGAACATTAGCAACCGCCATTATTGGGCTGTAAGTCTTTTTTTCTCAACACTCTTAATTACTTACTTGGGCTCACCTTCTGCTTTGCTTACCCAAAGGATTATTGTTTTTATGTACATTCATCTGCTTTGAGCGTCAAAAGGCTAAACATGTTATGAACAGAAACGAGACCAAATGCTTTGGTCGAACAAAATGAGTACGCGTGCCATTAGAATCAATGAACAATGCAGGGCCATTATATTATGATCACAAATTACACATTTCACTTTTTTCTCCATTATCTATATAAGTTGAGTTTCTTTTGGGCTGATAATTAGTTGGTAAACTCACACTTGTTTGATGTATGTTCTATAGCTTGACCGGCTTCTTATGTTACCATTTCTTTGCAGTCTGTCGGCTACACAGCAGTTCCTTTTTTCGTTATTGCCTTAATCTGGTTCATCTCATGTGGTATTTGCTTGTCTCTCATCTGCCTCTGCTACTGCTGCTGTCGGAAGGAGCCATATGGTTATTCCAGGATTGCTTATGCGCTCTCTCTCATTTTCCTCCTTCTCTTTACCGTCATTGCAATGTACAGCTCACTCTCCCTCTCACAAACACATATTGGTGTGTTATTAGACTATTAGTAGTAATAAAATCTTTACATACCTTGTTTGTTTTGCAGGATTGGATGTGTTGTGTTGTACGTCGGGCAAGACAAATTTCATAGCAGTACAAGCAGCACTTTGGAATATGTGGTCCATCAGGCAGATGGCATATCGGACAATCTTAGGAATGTGTCGCAATATCTGTCGGAGGCCAAGCAGATTAACATGGTTGGTCAAGTTTCTCTGCCTCCAACTGTCCAAACAGATATTGATCAGATCCAAACCAATGTCGACTCTGCAGCTCGTACACTATCCGATCAAACGCACGGCAATTCCAAAAAAATAAAGAACCTGATAGAATCAGTGTAAGCAGACGCCCCAAAATAAGCAGTGTTGTGTTGTTGAAATAAGTGATACAGTAATTTTGATCTTGCAGGAGATTGGCTCTTATCATACTCTCTGCTACTATGCTTATTCTCACTTTTCTGGGATTCGGTAATGCCTATTCTTCTTTCCTTTACACAACTTACTCTTGGTAATATTATTTCTTCTCTTCACTTTCCTTTTCTTTTTCAGCCTTTTCAATGTTTGGCATGCAGATACCTGTGTACATGTGAGTGGCTAGTAGAGTGGTTTACAACTGCTTCATATATACTCACACACGAAAAATAAAGAAGAAAGACACAAATGATTGAAATAAAAGTTTTTTTTTTTTTTTTTTTTTTTTTTTTTTTTTTTAAGTCAATATGAATTGAATTATGGATGCAGCTTGGTGATTACTGGATGGATTCTCGTGACTGGAACATTCATACTCTGCGGCATTTTTCTTCTTCTCCACAAGTATGTTAAACTATACGAATTCATATTCTTATCCATGATTGTGAGCTCTAGTTAAAAATTAAAATATCCATCTGATGATCCTGATTGGTTGATGACATTTAGTGTGACGGGAGACACCTGCGTAGCAATGAATCAGTGGGGCCAAAACCCCACAGCTCAAACAGCTCTAGACGATATTCTGGCGTGTGTGGATAAAAGCACTGCTGAGGACACGTTGAACAGAAGCAAAGAAGTAACATCCCAGTTAGTCGATTTGATTAATACAGTTATCACTAATGTCTCCAACATCAATTTTGCTCCCAACTTTGTGAATTTATACTACAACCAATCGGGTCCACTTCTGCCAACCCTCTGCAACCCGTTTAATCACGACCTAACCGAGCGAGCGTGTACCCCTGGCGAGGTGGATCTCAACAATGCCACCCAGGTGAATTTATATATATATATATATATATATATATATGTATATAGTAGGAATTTATGAATTTTATGTGCGTGACTCGGGTCGGGTTGATGCAGGTGTGGAGTGTGTATGTGTGCCAGGCATCAGCAAACGGCATTTGTATGACCACAGGACGTTTGAATCCAAGCCTCTACGGTCAGATGGCAGCCACTGTCAATTTGAGCTACGGCTTGTATCAATACGGCCCATTCCTTGTTGGCCTACAGGATTGCACCTTTGTCCAGCAAACATTCTCCGATGTACAAGTTGAGTATTGTCCGGGCCTACGAAAGCACAGCCAGCGAGTCTATGATGGGCTGCTCATGGTTGCAATAGCAGTTATGCTGTCTTTAGTATTGTGGGTCATATATGGAAGAGAGAGGCTGCACCGTGCCTATACCAAAGAGCATCATAATAAAGCTAATCAAAAATTGCCGGAAGGTCGTGACCAGAAGATGGAGAAATAGTTTTCAAATTTCAAATTCGTTTTTTCTTAATCTAGGTTATTGTTCATCCCAGATATTACTTGATGTATTTGTACTTTGAAAATTATGTGTAGATAGTACTTTGTGCCAGTTTTGAAAGGCAATTGTATGCAAATTAAATGGACTTCTATGATCAGGTTCACTGGAACCGTACAACATTAATTATCAACTTTTCATCAAGATCATACTCATGGATGGATTGTGTTCTTTGTAGAGGAAAAAATAATCTAAAACCATGGATTTGACTTCTCCGTATGCTGCACAACATTTCAAGCAGATGGCATTGCTGTTTCAATTGTTTGACTTGTTAACAAGAATAGCCATCAGTTCCCCTCTTAATTAGACAACTTTAAATGAACTCTCGATCATATCAAAATTAAGTTCCATTTCACACAACCCCACTGTTCTCATCATCCACACCATCTATTGCAATATTCCCCTATACTTGCATGCACACATACATACATATATATAATATCTACATGATAGCAGTGACATATATTTTTGTTGTTTTGTTCTCGGCCAACTTAACCAGCGACGGGCCTTCTCATCGTCACTCTTACTTTGAGCATCAGGAAGAAATAAGCATGGGAAGTGGTCTCTTGCTGACTAGATCAGACCTCGATCAATCTCGACTGATTGTTGTCGAGTCCACTTGATGCTCAAATTCAACCTTCCTGAATCGGTACCCTCAATATGGAAACTATTTGTAAATTCTCCCTCCAGTATAGCTCTCGTCAGAGTCATGATGCATCTACCCATTTTCTCCTGAAAATACATATGAGTGAGAGACGAAGAAATTTCAATATGTAGCACGAGAAATATTGACCAACTTCACAACTTCTTTTTTTGTTTCACCTTCCCAAATGTGTCATGGTCATAAACTTCAAGGATTAGCAACTCATGTAACCCATCCTCAACTACAAAATCAAATGTCTGATTCCAAACTGGATTCAAGGTATCATTGAGGACCTGATAAAAGGGCATTTAGAGATAAAGCCAACATAAAGATTTATATATAAGAGCGAATCAGTTGGATTTACATCTACTGATGATTAATTAATAATATTCACCCTAGTCTTGTACGTCTGTTCAGACTTCTTCATTCTTAGCACCACAAAAGGATCAGATTTTCCCAAGATATCTTTAGCTGGCAAGTTCTCTGCAGAGATGACAGTCACTGATAGAACTCCTCTAATAATAACATCCCTTTTTAATCTGGTTGCAGATTTCAGGGAATCTTCCCCTTCAAGTGCTTCTTTGAAGGCCTTCTCCACCGTCGTTAATCTGAAGTCAGGGTCAAAAGGATTTAAAAATTCGCTCTCAGCATTCAGAGGGCAGTACAGGAGCTCCAAGTGCACCTACAATAAATCAAAGATAGGTGTAAATCAGTAAATCAAACCAGGTAATATACATAACTTTCAACAGATGCTCAATAACAAACGCTTTTCTATCTATATCTATCTATATCTATATCTATATCTATATAGTTATATCTATACTATGATAAAAAGACGAGTGGTTTTGTAAAAATATGAACAACCTAAATAATTCTTACTTTGACAAATTTTTAATGGCAAATTAGTAAGACAATAATACTCATCTTATCTTATATTTTTAATTAACAAATGAATCACGTAAAAAAACCCTTACTATAAATGAGAAATTTGCTGAGAACATGGAAATTTAACTAGAACACAACAAAATGTTTTGATGGCAAGAAGCCTATATGATGCAAAATAATTATGATTATTATTATTATTATTATTATTATTATTATTATTATTATTATTATTATTATTATTAGTTAGCTTGGAGAATAAACTAGGGTTTAGTTTAAGAGTCTTATTTAAAGAGCTCTTGTGCTTTGTTATTAGGGGAGTTGATTTTTTAATGAAAATAAGATATTGTTGAATTTTACGTGTTTTTACGAGAGAGTATCTCGTTTACTCGTTTATCCTTCCCATTCGTACGCTTTCCCTACATCAGTTGGTATCAACAGTCAGTACGATTCGCGATGTCGCCGGGACGACAAGATGCCGCAAACAAACGGCGTGATGCAACTTTCAACGGTTTCAACAGATCGACTACCAATTTGAACAGATGGAACGCACTATGGACGTGCGTTTCACGGATTGGTTTGCAGATCTTTCGACGGGGATCAAAGATTTACATTTGACGCTTAACAACGTGGTCTGGGATTTGCAAATGAACGTGCCGCCGGCACCGGGGTTTGCGCGGGGGAGTTCACAGAGGAAATAGAGGTCGTGGTCCAGGCGGGGCGCCCCGTCGGCGATCTCCACAACCGCCGTCTGGAGAGGAGACCATCTCGGAGGTGGACCCCTTCAGAGAGTGGCCGCCTCCGCCCGTCGATACTGATCTCGTTGCTGAGCACGACGACCAAGATGCGCGGCAACAAGGTGTGGTTTTTGAGGAAGATGACGGGCCATTGTACGACGGTCCGCCTATTTCCGATGAGGAGCCTCTAGTGACGGAGACATATTTTTGCGGCAATATGGGTCCCGCGCGGGTTGTCGCAGAAGTTGAGCCTTTGACGGGGATATCGTCGTTGAAGCCCGATGTTTGGAATATCTTGGCCAACGATGGTTTTTGGGAGCCAAAGTCGAGGATTAATAACCGGTGGGCCATTTTTCGATTGTCTTTCGCGAAGTCTCCCAATAACGGATGCGTGGCCGTAGTTATAGATTTGAGCGCAGAGAACGATGTGGTATGTTTTGTGTTAATTCAGCTATGTGGGTTATGCGTATGAAGGTATGTACATGTGCCTTTGCAGCAGTTCAATCCTTGCCCGAGATTATGTTTACTTTCGGGGTGTTGAGCGACCTTGAAATCGTGTTCGATCGGGGGAAACATTGGGCTATTCATGTTATGCAACGTCTCCAACGGGAACGTGTCGTATTCGAGGGCGAATCCTGCTCAACCGGGGGAGAATGGTGCAAAATAATTATGATGATGATGATAAATATTATTATTATTATTATTATTATTATTATTATTATTATTATTATTATTATTAGTTAGCTTGGAGAATAAGCTAGGATTTAGTTTAAAAGTCTTACTTAAAGGGCTCTTGTGCTTTGTTATTAGGGGAGTTAATTATTGAATGAAAATAAGATAGTGTTGAGTTTTACGTGTTTTACGAGAGAGTATCTCGTTTACTCTTTTATCATTCTCATTCGTACGCTTTCCCTACATCATTATATGTTGGTAAAAAAAAAATCTTTTGCATAAAATAACCTACCTCATGGTAGCTAATCCAGAATTCTTCAAAATGGCACTATAGGGTGAGCTTACAAATAGATTAAGAGATAAGGTACAATAACTACGGTCACATGGCGAACATAGGTCATATATCTCAAAAATCAACCCGAACATCAAAACTTTGAAAGGATATGTGATTGATGTTTAAAAAAAAGTTCTTATTTTTAATATAAGGCCATGGGGACAAGCTACCCACACCGCTCAGTTCGAGCATTCTTTCCGATTGAAGCCCGCGAGTCGAGAGCTTCTCTCTCTGCAGCAGCCTTCGATCTATTTTAATGTAAAGTCGTAATCATATTTTATAATTTTAATATATAAATTTTTGTTAAGGAAAATTGATCCAACAAAAATGGCATAATAAATATTTATAAAGAATCCAAATATTTTCAACTTTTTTTTTTTTTTTTTTTTTTACAGTTTTAACAAATTATATATCTTGGTAAAAAGGACAACTTAATTAGGGGTAACTTTTATATAATAAATAATTCTAAAAATACAAAGTTAACGTTACTTAAGAGAAGGTACTTAAAATTTTATTGAAATCATTCACCGTGAAATATATACATAATCAAACAAACTAGAAAAGTGAACAATTCATTTAACTACTTCATTATTTAAGAAAATGAACTCTTTTAATTAGAATTAATATAGAAATGAACCTTACTATTATTGGTTTTGATCCCACAAAAATCGCCATTTATTTGTTTGTTTGTTTGTTTTTTCCAACTTTGGTCACAAAGTCAATAAAGTTAATAAATCTAGTTGGTTGATATCAAGGTGAATAACATTTAATTATTAACACTTAAATTATTTACATTTTTTCATTCAATAATAAACTATTAAATATCATAACATTTTAATTATTATAACATTATTTGAGCCAAGATGGGCGCTAAATAAACATATGATTTTCTCAATGGCACTTGAGAGTTTAATTGACCGTAGGTATCCTTATAATTGTTCAAGTAATATTTATATGGTTTTATAAGTTTATTAATACCTCAAAGTAAAAAAATTGAAAACGGTTTTTTGTTCTCATAATGACCACAAAGTATAGAAACATTATTTTTCCAAATTAACCTATACAAGCATGAGATATTAATTGTTTAATCATCATTTTGCAACTTAACTCAATTTCTTTGGTTAAAATAAGACTAGAACAATTTTATGAAATTATATAATACTAAAGCTCAAACCATTTGTTGTTTACAAGTCAAATGAGATACCATTGAGCAACATGATTTAATTTTGATCATATAATTATCCACAAATTAATTAAGAGTATCTCGAGAATCATGATATGCATGTATACGTTTAAAATTAATTTTTTTTAACCAAGAAATTATATCAATATATTACTAGTATGCATCTATAATAGAATTATTAGTTGTACATTTATGCTTTATTGTATTGTACTTTTAGTCTTTCATTTGTAACTCTTTTATATGTAAAAGTGTCATTAGTATTCGACACTTCTAGTTATTCTACCATACGTATATAAAGGGTTTGTTAATCCTAAAAACACAATGTAACATTCATTCTTCTCTTTTCAATTTTAATCGCCGCTTTCCTTTTCTCTCTCTGTTCTATCTCTCTTCTTCTTCTCTGAATCGATAATCGATAATCTAATATGGTATCATTCGCCAGTAGATCTTGATATTTCCGCTGCATCTATACTTGTTTAGATCTGATCTATCTTCGTTTCCCTTTTGTTCGATCGATATGTATCTCAATCCGAATCCTTCCGACGATCTTACATCACCGTTCTTCCTGCATCCAAGCGATAATCCCGATTCTCTCATCGTTGCCGAGCTCTCCAACGGAGAGAACTACGTGTCCTGGTCGCGTGCCGTTTCAATGGCTCTCAGCGTAAAAAACGAACTAGGGTTTGTGGATGGTACTATGTTTGCCCCTAATTCTACTCAAAACCCTAATCTCTCTATGTCTTGGGTTAGGGCTAACAATCTTGTGTTATCGTGGCTTCTGAATTCTGTGAACAAAGAGTCTTCAGTGTTTTTTACGATTGCTCGTGATGTTTGGGAAGAATTAAAATCTCGATATGCTCTGTCTAGTGGTCCTAGGGTTTTTCATCTTGAGAAATCACTCAGTACCATCTGTCACCCAGTATTACAACAATTTTAAATCTCTCTGGGATGAGTATGTCACTTATCGCCCTATTTTCAAATGTGTCTGTGGTGCTTGTGGTGCTTGTGTTGATTGTTCATGTAAAATCTTTGAAGCCATGGCTACTGCTCAAAATCATGATTATGTTATGAAGTTTCTGATAGGCCTGAATGGATCTTATTCATCTCTGAGAAGCCACTTCTTATTGTCTAATCCCTTTCCCTCACTTGCTACTGTATACTCTCTTCTTCTTCAAGAGGAAAGTCAGAGATCCCTATCCAACACCACAAAATCATCTAATTCCCTTGCTATGCTAGCCAAATCAAACAAACCAGCATATTCTTTTCCCAACAAACCCCTACATACAAACCACCAAACTCCTTCACAAACAAACCTACCCAATCAAATGACAGATCCAAACCCAAATGCAGCCACAGTGGTTATCTTGGCCACACTGTTGATAGATGTTACCAAACTATTGGCTATCCTTCTAATTGGGTTGGGCCTCGTGGTCCTAGACCTTCCCCAAAACACTCTGCCCATGTTGTTTTCACTGATTCTACTTCTCCTATTTCTGATAATACAAATGATGCATCTTCCATGACTGACCGTTTGTTTACTGAGTTTTTAGCCTTTAAGAAATCACAAGAGTTGGCACAAGGTAACTCTAACACTCCTGTGGTTGCCACTGCTTTTGTTGAGCCATCAAATACGTCTAAACATTCTTTATGTATGATTGCTCAAGCTTTATCCAAAACTACATGGATTCTTGATATTGGTGATACTGATCACATGATATGTGCTTCTGAGTTTTACACTTCACCTACTACATATGTATCTGTTAAGATTACAATGCCTAATGGTAATCATGTTGTTGCTTCTCAAATTGGACAAGTTAAACTTGCTGACTCTCTTATCTTACATGATGCATAATATGTGCTATCTTTTGCATTCAATCTTATATCTGTCTCAAAATTGGCTGCCACAAACAACTGCATTGTCAAATTCTTGTCATCCTCTTGCATATTACAGGATCTGTCAAACCGTCAAACCACCAGACAGTGATTGGTTCTGCTGAGCTTAAAGATGGTTTATATCATCTCTCTTTACCTTCTACTCATGCTTTGCTAAACATTGTTCATACTGACAACCATGTATCCCCTCAATTACCTGTAAAATCTCATTCCCTTGTAACCTCAGATTCTTCTATATGGCATTATAGATTAGGACATATGTCTTACTCTAAACTTCAAACATTATCTCTTACATCTACTCGTAAACCTGCTCTTCTATTTGATGTGTACCATTTTTCTAGATAGAAAAGATTGCCTTTCCTGAAAGTACATCTATTTCTGATTCTCCATTTCATTTGATTCATTGTGATGTTTGGGGACCATTTTCAGTTCCATCTCATTCAGGGCATAAATATTTCCTCACCATTGTTGATGATTATAGTAGACTTACCTGGATTTATCCTGCTGTTTTAAAATCAGACATTAAACATCTCATTCATTTTTACAACATGGTGTTAACTCAATTTGGTAAGAAAATCAAAATTATCAGAACAGATAATGGTTCTGAGTTCTTTCTTAAACAATTTTACACTGACTTTGGCATTTTACACCAAACATCTTGTGTTGAAACTCCTCAACAAAATGCCAAAGTAGAGAGAAAACACTAACATCTTTTACAAGTAGCAATAGCTCTTTTATTTCATGCTCATCTACCTTCATCATTTTGGATTGACTGTGTACTTGCTGCTGCACATATCATAAATAGAATCCCCACCCCTGTTCTCAACCAAACATGGTGTTAACTCAATTTGATAAGAAAATCAAAATTATCAGAACAGATAATGGTTCTGAGTTCTTTCTTAAACAATTTTACACTGACTTTGGCATTTTACACCAAACATCTTGTGTTGAAACTCCTTAACAAAATGCTAAAGTAGATAGAAAACACCAGCATCTTTTACAGCATCTTTTACAAGTAGCAATATCTCTTTTATTTCATGCTCATCTACCTTCATCATTTTGGATCGACTGTGTACTTGTTGCTGCACATATCATAAATAGAATCCCCACCCTTGTTCTCAACCAGAAATCTCCATTTGAAATGCCCTTTCAAAAACCTGCTACCTATGATCATTTGAAAGTGTTTGTTCAACTTTGATTGCAAACATAAACAAATTTGATCTCAGGGCTTCTAAGTGTATATTTCTTGGTTATCCCGTAGGTTGTAAAGGCTACAAACTTTACACCCTTGATACCAGAAAAACATTAATTTACAGGAATGCTATTTTCTATAAATCAGTATTCCCTTTCAAATCCCTCTCAAAAAATAATCCTTTTACCCATATGTTTCCACAACCTGATCCCTCATTTAATTTTGACAACCATACTGGCCTTACAACAACTCACCACTCACCTATTCATGACTCCCTTCCTACTACACCTATCTCTAATTCACCTATTCATAACTCTCTGACTACTTCACCCATTCATAATTCTGTTCATATTCTCCCTTCTCCTACTCACACTCAACAAAACAATTCTTCTTCTCATATATCTCATGTCAGAAGAAAATCACAAAGAGTCACCAAAATTCATGCTTACCTAAATGTTTACAAACACTCTCTGTACCCTCATAATGCCTCTTGTTGCATAAATACTGTTTCTAACATTCTTGGGACAACCTCCTATCCCATCTCTGGTTTTTTATCTAATAGTCAACTATCTGCCACTCATAGTTGCTTTACTGCAATGATTTCAACTGCCTCTGAACCCAACACTTATAAACAAGCTGCTAAAGATCCTCTTTGGCAAGAGGCTATGAACAAAGAACTAAAAGCTTTAGAACAAACAAATACATGGGTTCTTACTGATTTACCAAAAGGAAAACATTGCATAGGCTGTAAATGAGTTTTCAAAATTAAATACAAAATCAGATGGTAGCATTGAAAGATATAAGGTTAGATTGGTTGCTAAGGGGTATACCCAAGAAGAAGGGATTAATTTTTTTGATACTTTTTCCCCAGTAGCAAAAATAACAACTGTGAGATTTCTGGTTGCATTGGCATCTATTCATAAC